ATGGCGTGCGGCTGCGGCTGCTCGCCGCCGCTGCGGTGCAGGAGCCTGCGGAGCGCTCCGCCCTGCTGCATGGCCGGGGCAAGTCCTCGGGGCCGGCCGCCCTGCCGCGCTCTCCCTCCCGCGCTCCTGAGCCTCGTGCTCCCGCACCCCGCGTGGGTCGTGGTTTGTTGGCTCAAGCAGTTCCCTCCCCGCCGCGGTCCTTAATCCCTCCCCGCCGCCCCAGCAGGTTCCCCGTGTCTTGCACAGGAAGGGAGAGGCTCGCGTTCCCCATTAGCCACCCATTAGCCTCTAGTCCCCGGGCGCAGCCCGCCCCGTCCCGTCCCTCTGCTCTTTCCGGCAAACAGCCGGGTCCGGGGCGGCCGTGGGGGGCACCATGTCCACTTGCAGCCCTGCTCCGCCCCGAGTTTCACGGCGGCGGCCCTTGTAGTCAGGCAGCTGCTGAGGGAGTCGCTTGACTCCTTTGCATCTACCTCATCCCTGCTAAACACGGGGCAGGGTGTTTTGAAGCCTCCCTCAGAGGCGTTGGGTGTTGGCTGCAGCCCAGGCTGGAGATTTTGGTTGGGGTGTGTGCCAGTGCACCTGCTGGGCCCGCAGCCCTGGCTACAGGGTCTCACCCCTCGGCTCAGGGCCAGAGCAATTGCCATTTTTAGGGCCAGGAAGGGATTTTGCCCCATGGTCAGATTGGTTGGGGAGGGGGGAGTTGCCTTCCTCTGTAGCTGGGGGGTATGGCACTGTGCCTGGGACCTCTTGGGCATATACAGGTTTTCCTCGCCAGCCACGGTTTTGGGTATCCACGCTTAATATTCTATATACCATTTTGGCTACCATGGTTTTGAGTAACCATGGTTTACCGTGGCTCCACATCAGCCCACCAACTGCCATTTTCGCTATAAACCTTTTGTCTTGCCCACCACAGTTTTGCCAACCACGGGCACTTTCAGGAACCTAACCCCAGCAGCTGGCGAGGGAAACCTGTATTGCCAACATCTCATAGAAGCAGGATGCTGGCTGCTGTGGTTCCCCTGCTTTTCCTGTGGCAGGTTAAGGTATTAGGCATAGGCGACTGGTAGGGGGGCACAGGGGGCTGGGGGGGGCACAGGCCCCCTCTGAGTTTGGTGGCCTCTGCTGGCTTCTGCGGGCGGTTGCCCCTCGCCA